GGTTGATGATGATGAAGAAGGCAAGGCTTGCTGAGGAACTGGAGAGCACTGTTGTTCTAGGTTCGAATGGGTTTAGGGAAGAAAGGGGGAGAAGGGTTCAGGTTTTGCAGGAGGTGGGATCCACTTTTTTTACTTGTTTGGTTTTGGAGCAGAATGAGTCATACTGCCATGTGCGTTTGAGGTGTCACTTTATTGTTGACATGTCATCGTGCTTTTGTTAATCAAGGACACGTCACTAGATTTTTAACAGATTTTTAACAGAGGGACTAAATTGGGGTCAAAATGGTAAACAGTAGGGATCAAATAAAGGATTTTTTGAGTTGAGGGACTAAGTCGGGGGTCCGTACGATAGTTGAGGGACCAAAATGGGGGTTTAACCTTACAATTATCATTGTTGGTACCCCCTGTCCACCTCTCTCCCTTATAACATGTTAACTAATGATAAATTTTGACTTGATGCATTATTCTTGTGCCAGTTGCAAGCATTTCCATGGTGAAATTTACATGGCTGAACTGAATCTGCTAGAATCCATTGATTAATAGCTTCTTATACTGTGTAATGGTACAAGAGTTTATACAACATGGTTTCCCTTCTCTGTTAGTGGGTTTTGATTTATGATCTCGAGGATATATCATATAAATCATTCCAAACTAGGCTAGTTTCATGTAAATGTGTTCTATTAGTGTGCATTATATACAAACAAACGATAGAGAGGACGTTGGGCTAATATTTGTAGAATATTGATTCTCCCCTATCATTGCTGTTGCCTTAGTGCTTTGTAGGTTCTAAGTTTATTATTGTAGAATCTCCCTTTTTTGTGGAATTCTAATGTGGTTTGTTTACGGTTTCAACTGCACTAGAAAAGAAACAATATCCATGATCTTCCAGTCTAGTGCTGTTTCAGTTTTCATTTTCTTTGTGCTAGCTCTATACTTTGCATTTGCTTCTATTAGTGACTTATGCAGTGATGTGTTTACTTTTGAGATAGCCATTGAAGATTCTTCCAGCATTCTTTGAAATCCAAATGTTAGAAAAGTAGTAAGAGCATGGCCACAAATTAGCTTAAGCTGCTTGCTCATCCAAATTGAAGAGTTTACAGGAGGCTTGCTCGCTAAAGGACCTTTAATTCAAAGGGTTGCCCAGGGTTAAAGCAATTTCACTCTTTATGGCTATCAATATTTCATGTAAGTTAGTTTCCTAGTTTACTCTATACTGCACTCTCTTGTTTCCTTTCAACAACAATATTCTCCAAATCCTCCTGCTAAGTAAATCATGCAAGTGTTATGGTTGTTCCCTCTTTCTTGAGGGTGAGGGTGTAGAGGATTCGTTAGTACTGTAGTGGCAGATTCATATTGCATTTTGATCCTGAGTTTTAGGAATGAGGATGGAGGTTTGCAAGCATGTTACTGTGTAGCCTGAACATAATGGCAGAATCTTGGGTGTCCTAATCCAACGTGTACGCATGAAACTGAACCCAAGTTCTCAATTGATGTGGTTTTTGAACCATAAGTAATGGATGGACATTAAGAACAATCATTATACCCGCTCGGTGTTTCAAGAAACTGATTTGATCCAAGTTAAACATTGAAGCTTGTACAGCACTGTTAACCGTTCGTACAGTACTAATCTTTAATCTCTGAACTCTATTCCCACTAGGATTAGCGCAGTCTGCACAGACATTCAGAAGTTCAACTGTGTTTTTGGATCTAATTACACCACTACATTTAGCTTACATTAAAGCTGAATATTATTCATATAACTAAAAAAAATGTTGAATATTATTCCTTAATATCATGTGTGATTGCTGTAGGTATGAGCAGCAATCAAATGCTTAGAAGCCGTCATTCAAGTATTTATTAGACCTTTCACTCGTGAAACCGATTTATGTTGATGAGGTAATGTTTTCCACCACTTGACAAAGGTTGAGTCCTCCAGAAGCACGTCTTTGCCTAGCTCACCATTACGAATCCATTCCTCTACTTTCATTTCTAAGATCAAGATTCTTTCTTTCACATCTTCAAATGCTCCCTGGCTACTAATATAAAGCTCCTCTACCTCCGCCCAAAAACAGGACTCTGAACTTGATCCGGCAGGCATTCTTAAAGCGTGCTCTCGCCATCTCTGGGTGAATCTGTAGCGCTTTGGTCTGCCCCTCATCAAATAGGGTCCTGTATCTTCATTTTTGGAATGACGATAGTAGTTGGCGATATCCAGAGGTTCAACAATGTGGCGGTACCTGGTTCCAAGTAGTACCCAATCTTTTTGGCTCTCAAATCCATCTGGTAGGTCGTCCCTTTTCAACATTTCAATAATTTCATCCCATATTCCTGCCAGTTCAAGCCTCTTTACATTTGCATTGAAATCATCTACATTCTTTGAAATCTTAAAGGCATCATAATAGCCCACTTTGCGAGCCTCACACCTGGTTTTGTATTCTTCCAGCATTGCAAGTCCTTTTTCAATCTCGGTCTTCTTATCTTCTATCCTCTTCTGGTTTCTTAGTTTTTGCTTCTCTGCCTCTCCTGCAGCACGAAGACACAACCTGGCTCTAGTGCTCTGCAATTCCAAGAGTCAGGAGGTTAGATCGTATTATAAACATCAACCATTCAGAGCTTGCTGTTATGAATCAAATATCATATTGCACTATACTTTCAATGTTTCACTAACTATTTTAAATTGTCTTGGTAAGAAGTTGGAGGCCTATGGAAGGTGAAAACGAAGAAGTGGGATGCTTACCAAGCCAAGGTCATTTAAGGCCAGATCAATCATCATGCTCTCGGCATCTGTGGCATCTGAGGACAATGGAAGCCCTTCCAAACTGTCCAAGTAAGTCACATTTTGCATATTTAAGCTTTCTTGCAGCTCATTTTGATAACTGAAATGGTCCGTGAGGGTTCTGCAGGCAATCTCTACAACTTCAGTCTCGGAGCTTAACTGCAAAGAGAAGAACAATAGCTGCAGAATAGCGTCTGGGTTCTTCACAACCACCAGTTTCCCATTTCCAGTGCAAAAGACAAAGGTTCCAAAGGGTTTGTAAGGGCTGAGCTCAACAAAGTTGGCCACGGTTTCCAACAAAGGATTGGTGTTTCCCATTAGTTGACAGGCAGCATGGCTTGATACCATCGATGCATTTCTCATCACAGCTACAAAGAACTCCGATGCTTCTTTGATGCATTCTTGTGTAGAAATTGTAATTTTCGGGTTTAAGAAACTGAGACACTGCTGAAATTCTCGTTCTATGGAAGAGGAAGGAGAAAGGAGGATACGGGGAACAATGTCATATCTCATGACAAAATGGAGGAAGAACTGCGACCAGTTCTCTCGCCGGAGAGCATGATTAAGCACACGATCACCGACAAGCGGCGATCCAAAAGTTACACAAAAAGGTGGCATCCGGGTGTTCTCCGGTTTTAGGTACTTCTCCAAGAACCACACTGTCGCTCCCATAGCAACGGCACCACCTGACGAGTGCCCTGTGAATACTATCTGCTTCTTTTCTCCCAAAGCTTTTTCCACCTGAGAAACATCCAAATTATATAGCACATAATCCATTCAATTTTAGGATCTTTCTTGCAAAGTGGATCAAATTTCAGACATGGAAAAATTCGGAAAGATTCAATGAGATACCTCATTCTGAAGGGAATAATTCGACAAAATTGACTCGAATCTGTTGAGAAAAGCTTGATTAACTGTTGCCAGTTCATCGGTTCCGATGCTTCTAAGAGAGGTTGCCACTTTGTCGTTGCCTGTGGGACAGAACAATTCCAGTTGATCGATCTTAGTTTCCCCGAAAGGATTCCGGGAAAACCAATCACCGGCGGACCAAGAACCCGGAAAGCCGAAAACCACTTCGGATGATCCACGAGACTTGTCAACAAAATACAACTTTTCCGGTGACTTTTGTGCTTTCATGGCCGTGGAACATGCTTTCTTCACGACCTCTTCTTTCACGCCGGTAATATCTCCAAGCCTTGCACTCGCCATCTCTCTTTACAGTAGAGTATATGGGTTGTGGTCGCTGCTTCTTTTAGCCTAATTAAAGTTAAAGGAAGAAGACAAGCACCAAAGCAGTGTAATTTCTTGGAAATTCCTAATCGAATTGCAAGTTTGAACAAGAATAGCTTTAGTCAATAAATTATGGTTGACCTATCTTAGTGGTTGAGAAAGACTGGCTCTTTATATGATTTTTTTCTCCGCCAATTGTATAAAGCCGAAGAATCAATAGGGTCAAGCTGAAAAAGAAAAAATTACAAATCGATAACTGTTAAGGCTATCATATTTTCACACTAGCTGTTATACACTTATTTTTATAAATCAAATAAGAAGACACCACGTGTCCCATTTATTTTCAATTTACTGGTACATGTCACTTTGGGCCGTTGGAGTAATTGATGGCTGTCGCATGTCATATATGTCGGCAAACACTTTGCTTGTTGATTAAATCGTTCAATTGATGATTTAAATACAAGATTTTAACGATAATCAAAAGCAAATATATGGACTGTAACCAATCATACTTTGAAGAGTAAAAGCATGTATGGATAGTGCTGCCATCCGCTGTCATACGGCACTCTCGTCAACCAATTCAAGCTTAATGGTTAATTTTAATGATAGCTCAGTTGTTGTAAATCTCATTTTTAGCATGCTGCCATAGAATTTTAGCATGCTGTCAAAGGTGTCAGCACTATAAATTAATGAAGGAATCAAGGAAAGTAGAGTTGCCCTTCTCAAGACAGCTTAGCGGTCCTTACATTTCAATGTTCAAGCTTTTTGTAGTCTTTTAGTTTTTTTAGTTTAGTTTTTACCTCTATGATACCTCAAACTCTAGACCTAGTTACTGTTTATTTTGATTTAAATATTTTTATTGACATACTTCACTTTCAACAATTCAATTCAAAAAATTTTCTGTTAAATTGATGTTTCTCCGGTTTTGCTAGAGAAAATTTATAATCCCAATTACTTTATATTATTTTAGAAAAATATGCTGAATCTTGAATATGAGATTCAAATTTGAAGAAAAAGACAGAAGAAAATTGAGAGATTGAGAAAGAGAAAAATAAGTTATAAGTTACAGTATTAACAGCCTAAATCAATGAAAGGAAAAACTTTCTCAAGTTTAGGGAGAAAGAAGCGAAGAAAGAGAAGATATTGTTTGATGTGATAGAAAATAAAACAATCTTGTATTAAAATGCTAAAAAAACTAAAATAAAAAATAAAAAATGGTGAAAGGAATTTGGTAATGAGCCTCTATCCCATCACTTAACCATGGCCCAAGTGGTATTTACCAAATTACCATTTGGGCTTACCAAATGGTAATTTTACCATATCAAAATTACTACTTCAATAAATTTGGTATGGTTGGAAAATGCACACCCCTATGTTAACCAAAATTTTTTGTGCATTGAATTTTTTGGAAAAAATATGAAAACCATTCTCTGGGAACCATTTTTAGGAGTCTGTCTAGGGTTTCCCATGTTGGCTTTCCTAAGGTGATTCCTTTAGGTTTAGTGCTTTGTTTCCCAATTCAAAGGTGCTCTTTTATTGTTGCTTATTACTTTTGGGATATCAAATTACATTTTTCTCTTAGCCTTAGGTGATGGGGTGGAATTTATTAAGGTTGTGCCTTTTGGTGTATTAAATATGTTTCACTTGTTGTATTAATTACTTCATCTCACAATAGAGCTTTAAATTACTCTAATGTTAGAAGAGATGGCAAGGAAGCACTCTAAGGAGGGAGAAACTATTTCCCTTCTTTTGGGAAATACCTTAATAGTACAATTGGAATCTAAACAAGAAGATGGAGTTGGTGAATTTCAGCATTTTTCTGTTACTGGTCGGTTGGTAGCTAAACATGAGGAACTTCGTAGAGGTTTGTGTATATGTTTGGTATTCTCAAAAGTGCTTGGAGTCCAAAAGGAGGATTGAAGCTTCATGAACAATCTAAGCATACATACATTTTTACCCTTTTAGATGAGGAAGAAAAACATAGGATTTTTAACAGTTCCCTTTGGTCTGTGAAGGGTTTTCATCTTGTTATCAAGGACCAACTTAGATCTCAACGTTTTGATGAGATCAATTTCTTTAGAACAAAATTTTGGGTGTTAGTGCATGGTTTGTCCAAACACACTATGATAGTGGGGCGCATTGGATCACTGTTTCCTTGACTTAGTTGTTGAGATGAATCTACAATAGGTGAATTAGAGAAATTTATGAGGCTGAGGGTAGAAATAGACATCCATGTGCCTTTTTTTATAGGTTTTCAAATTGATGTTTCAAATGTACAAACGAGGTTGGCCAAGTTTAAATATGAAAAGTTTGTTGTTTTTTGTTATCAATGTGTTATGCTTGGCCATACCATCAAAATATGTGATGGCTTTCATTGGATAGATGAAGAAGGAAATTATACTGCTCAGGCCCATCCTTAATATGATCCTTTATTGAGAGAGAGCACATGTTTATTCCCCTTGATGACATTTTGGTGTGATTCAAATGACCTCACAATGTTCTAAGCTTTTACATAAAGGTATAAAATGCTTTCTCGGTGCAACCATTAAAAATAAACAGTCTATAATGGTTCCAATGCTTACTAAAAAGGTAAGGTCGTGTATGGATTCAGTTGGCTCACAATGGAGCATGCACAACAACTAGAAGATAAGCGCATGACATCCTTTTCTCTAGGGCCATTATCTTCTTCATTTAATGTACCTAGAATTCAATCTTTAGAAGATGTAAATGTGCTTTCTCCTATAGGTGTAGAGTTATCATTATGGTCATCTAAAACTCTATCTTTAAAGGCAGCATCATTAAATGAGATAGAGACAATTAAGGAGCCACAAGATCACTACAAGAATCCACATTTAGTGACTAAATAATTGATCATTAAATCTTTATTTTTCGTCACAAATTATTATTAATGATAAAATTTAAACCGTTAATAAAACTTTTATCACTAATGCTTTTAGTGACAAATTAAGCACATGTCACATAAAATAATCTTATAGTGATAGAAAAAATTGATATTGTTAACAAGTTATTAGTAATAATTTTATTCGTCACAAAAAAATATTCATCACAAATGCAGTTGTGATGAAAAATTTAGTCATTAATTATTAAAATTAATATTAAATAAAAAAATATTTATATAATTACAACACAAATATTTTAACAAAAATTTTGTCACAAAAAAATAATATATAAATTTATCACAAAAGTTTAATAAAAAATATTATTATTTCAATATTAATCAATTTTGATTAAAATTAATCAAGTCCAATTAAAATTAATCAGGCCAAACTTAATCTCAAGTTTTATTAAGTTTCACATGTTTTATAGTACAAAAATTTATTTTTTTAAATATTTTTTATCGATGTGGGATATATTTACAGTGCAAAACCTTATTCTCTCATGTGTTTTTTATCGATGTGCGATGCATTGATTAGAGAAAATTGACAGTTTTTAGTAACGAAATATATTTTTTTAGTGATGAATTATTTGGTCATCATTAAATGTATAAGGTATATATGACAAATATTAGAATTTTGTCATAATTGTAATGCATTATAATGATGATTTTTATTGACAAACACTTATTTTATCTTTATGAACATTTTTCGGTGACGCAATATATTTTTTATGATGAATTTTTTTGTTCATCATTAAATATGTATGCATTTGTGATTAATTTTTTTAGATCTGTCACAATTGTGATAAGTTATAGTGACGATTTCAAAATTCATTATAAATTTCTATCACTAAAAACCATTTTTCTTGTAGTGGATGTTTCTACTTCTAGTCATTTGAAATCTTCAAATGTTGGGCTAATAGTTTTAAGCCCAATCTCTTATCCATATAAGGCTTGTGAGTATGATCCAAATGCTGGCCTTAATTTAGATTTAATGGAAGTTGTGTCTGTATTATAGATCAAATCTAAGCCTAGTTGAATTTGGGTGATGAGCTAAATAATGGGAAGAAGAAATGTAGTAAGGCTGATGAATGTTAAGGAGAAGAATCTAGAAGACCTAGATTACAGCTCTTTAAGTATTGCAAGCCTTCATGCTCCTTAGCTTAATTGTAGAAAGCTTTTTCACATGGAAAACTAGTGTTTGATCCCAAAGAATAGCCTTGTTTTTTCATAGATGTAGAGGAGTTTGTTTTCGTGGCAAGTGTTTGACAAAAAATACATCTTAAGGCCTTAACTTGTCAGATTTGAGTTTGTCCAAATCGTTACTTTACATTGATTCATTCTCTTCATCCTACTTAAAAGCATTTTAATGAACCCTTCTTTAAATTGATAGGGATGATTGAGGATTCCACTCCAAGTATTTCTATTGTTTTATCTTTTCTCCATCAAAATCATCTGAGCAAACATTGCATTAAAAACATTACAAAGGGGCTTTGGTGGTTGGCCCTTAGGAGCCACCACTCTCACCATAAATATCATATCATGGAATTATCAAGGCCTTGGGCAAGCCCTGATGAGAAAGGCGCTTAAGGATTTAATCTTTAAACAAAGCCCACGATGGTTTTGATTAAGACTAGGCAACCTCAAAGTTACATGAAGTGGTTAAAAAGGTAATTTTAATTTTCTAGCAGTGTGTATGTTGATCCACAAGGTTATTCAAGGGGTCTAGCCTTATGGTGGACTGAAAATGTGAATATCTCTCTTTTCTCTTCTAATAAGTTTTTCTTTGATGGTTGTTGCTCTATGGCTGACTATGCTTTCTCTTAGCATTTTACTTTTGTTTATAGG